GAGGTGGGGAAGGGGGGGGGGGGTTCCTAGCCAGGTAAAACTTGCCATTTTCACTGACATTTTCTCTCTTCCTCGATGACTCTCTTCCTGCTCCTTTCCTGACTTTAGCCAAAAAAATACTCTTTGAGCAATCAAAGCTGCTTGATAAGTGATAATATTTAAAGAGCAGTGTAATGCTTCTGAAATTTGGATGTCAAATGTCCCATTCTCGTATCCTTTAAGTGGAGTAGGGTACCAGTTTGCATCTCAGCAACACAACACCGGTTTACTGTGCCAGATGGTGAGTTATTTACCAACAGCAGCATAGAAGTGCTTAGAACGCACAGTCACTTCCCTGCCTTAGAACCGTCCCATCCACGCAGTTTCCAGCTCTGCAGTCCTGACTTGTGGCTTACGGCCACTTTTCCTTTTCAATTCTCATTCTAGTCTAAATTTTTGCTATTACATCACTCTCCCAGGAGATCTCCTGCGGCCTGCTTTGCTGCAGCTCAGTTCTAGTTTACCTTTAGAGGACTTCGGCTCTGTTTCTGCTCCGTCCACAGCGGCCTGTGTTTCTCATTAGCATCAGGTTTCTGCACTTACTCAGCCTTCCCAAATGCCTTTCCACTGAACATTGCCTTAATGCTTTTACAATGACAATATTTCATTTTACAAGACTTTTTTTTTTTTTTAAAGGCATTGAAGCTACTTGTACCAGTAGACATGTAGTAGTGGGAGATGCAGACGCTTCGGAGTCAGACCAAATGGGATATTCAAGCCTTTGCTCTGGGGAGCGGGGGGGGGGGATGCCGCAGAAAGATGGGCTCTGTGAGGCTGAGTGTGCAGGGCATGTAGGTGCTATGACTGCACCTGGCTGAGCTGGGAGTGGATCTTGGTTCAAGGCCCTGTTGGAGCTGTCTCTCTCACTCTCTCGTTCTCTCTCTCTTACTGTCTCTCTTACTTACGGAAGAGATGAATAAACTTAAAAAATTCTTCCTTTGCTGCGTCTTGGCAAAGTGACTTTGAGCATGTTGGCTGCAAATTTTATTTTTCTCATTTGCAAGGGGGAAACAACGATATATATCTAATAGGATCAGAATGGAGATTAAGGAAAATAATACAATTTAACAGCTTGGCCTGTAACAGACACTCAGTAGACTGAAACAGTTGGTAAAATAATGCCAAGAATTATTGTCAGTGTTCATATTCTCTTCTGCTTCAATGATGAATTATATACTCTTTGGAAACAATGTCTTACCTTATTTACCTTGTATCCTCTAGAGATACTGACCACGATGCCTAGCACCTAAAATAATATCCAATACAACTTTGATGTCTGATTTTTTTTTTTTTAGAGAGAGAGATTTTTGCTGTAGGATACATGTGCTCACTGGAGAGACAGAGAGAGACAGAGAGACAGAAACCGAGAAATCATACCTCGGGGGGATGGCCATGCCACCATCCCTCTTTCTCCACTCTCCTCTTAGGATCTTGGGTACCCGTGCACATGCGCCCAGTGTGAGTTTTAAGCCACTGGGTCCAGAACTCAAACTGTAGCCGACTACTGGGAGTCCAGTGATATAAACATTACTAGTCCTGATCACTGATTTTTTAAAAAAATGACATGGATTTACTGGGAAAAGCAAGTGTCAGGGTGTGAGGTGCTGTTGGCTGGAGGCAGAGTTCCGGACCACGGAGAAGCCTGGCCATGCAGGATGGCCACGCTCTACCCATAAGCCCCCGCTTTGATCTGGAGGGACTAGGACTTCTGAGGACTTTTCCAGGACCTATCCACCTATCCCAGGAAAATATGCTGTCTTCCAGTCTCATCTATCCAGCTTATTAATTCAGTAGAAATAGTCTGAGAACTTACGTGCCAGTTTCTCCAGCACGCGTCAGTGATGTGTAATAATGAGCTATTAAAACCTTTCTCGGGCCAGCAGGTGGTGTGGTGGTGAAGGCACTGGACTCCCACAGGGCCGACTCTGTGGTCCAAGCCCCAGACTGGTGACTTGCAAAATGAAGCCAGGTGCATGTGCTGGTGTGCCCAAAATCCCGAGAGGAGAATGGAGAAGGGACTGTGTCATGTCCAACACCCCCGGGGGCTGATTTCCCTTTCTCTCTCTGTGCCTCTTTCTGGCAAGCACATATGACAGAAAA